TTATCCGTGCTCAATATCCTTCTAAAGTAGCTAAGAGATTGGAAATAATTCAATGCAATTTCTTATGGGATGACAGAGATAGTAACAAGAAATTCCACTTTGTTAACTGGAATGAGGTCAAGAATCCTATCAAAGATGGAGGGCTGGGGCTGCGTTCATTGGTTAATCTAAACAAGGCTCTTCTTGGGAGATGGATTTGGAGATTTTGGAATGAGGAAAACAGTTTATGGAAAAGAGTTATCAGCTGCAAATGGTTTGAAGGCGATCCACATGATCTCTCTCTAATCAGGAAATACAACAACGGGTTGAGTCTGTGGAAAAATATAATGAAACTTAGTGACAGCATTCTTCAATGCTCTAAATGGATTCTGGGCAATGGCAATAAAATTCGGTTTTGGGATGATGTTTGGTGTGATAATGAGACTCTTCTTGCAAAATTCCCGCACATCCATGCTATTGCCAGGAACAAAGAATGTCAGATCTGCGAGGTGTCCAACCCTGATTGCCCGGGTCTGTGGAATATTTTCGTTACAAGGAACCTTCAGGATTGGGAGGTGGAGGAATATGATACACTGCTTCTCACTTTGTCCAACATTCAACTTTCAAATCATGAAAATAAGTTAAGCTGGAAACTGATTAAAAATGACCTGTTTTCTGTAAAAACTTTCTACCATTACATAAGGGGTTCATGCACTAACAGACAGCAGGTTTTCACATCAAAAATAATCTGGAAATCAGGAGCTCCACCCAGAATTTCATTTTTTGCTTGGGAGGCTGCCAAAGGAAGAATTCTTACTCTTGACAATTTGATGAAAAAAGGCATTACCACAGTGAACAGATGCTTCCTCTGCAAAAATGATCTTGAAACTTGTAATCATCTTCTCCTTGGCTCTCCTACTTCTCACAAATTATGGTCCATGGTTCTCAGTCTTCTTGGTTTATCTTGGGTTATGGCAGGCATTACTATTGCTGAATTGTTAGCTTGGGAAGGTGTTACTTGCAGGAAAAAAGCTATCAGCATCATCCCTCTCACTATCTTTTGGGTTATTTGGAAGGAACGTAATAACAGCGCTTTTGAGGGGAAAGAAGTAGATTTCAACACTATTAAGGATAACTGATTTTATTATTTTAGCTCTACTATCTTAGGTCACAACTCGATAGTATGGATGATTTTGGTGATATTGTAAATATGCTAATTGACTTGTAAATATTTTTGTATATGCGCGGTGTTCCCTTAGCACCTCATTAATACATATCCCTCTCACTTTTATTTCAAAAAAAAATTTGTCATTTCCAACAACAAATCCCTTAATTGCTCCTCTTGCAGATCTCCTAGTCCTCTTTAAACCATCCACAAAGAAAGTAAAAAAGAATAGTGATAACGGATCACCTTGTCTTATCCCCTTAGTCCCTGAAACCACTCCTAGGCCTTACCATTCACTAACAAAGCAAAAGAGATAGAGGACAAGCAACATTTTATCCAACTTTGCCATCTAAATCCAAAACCTTTACGATCCAACACAAATCAAGGAACGCTCAATTTATCATCCCATAAGCCTTTTCAAAATCTAATTTTAGGACCAATCCTTCTGGCTTCACCATTCGCAAATATTCCATTAATTCATTAACAATAAGGGGTATGTCCAAGATTTGTCTTCTTTCCACAAACGTGTTGTAGTTTGGTGAGATAGTATCGTTTAAAACATCACTAGGGCCTATAAAGCTAAGGACATAATCTTTAAGCAAAGATCAATAGACAATTAGAAAAAACAACTACAAAGTGCATCTCAATATGATTTTCAAACTTGCAAGCTCTTGTGAACTTTTCACAAATAATTTATCTACATTTATCTCATATAAACTACATTTGGACCTCGCTCTCAGCTTGTCTATTTTCCACCACCACTTCTTCCTCTTTCGAACTCCAACTATTTTCAACTTCATCACAAGACTCATCAAATTCTCTTCTCAAAGTCCAATTACTCCAACCTCAATCTTTTCATGGTCCCCATTATCTCCATAATTTTACCATGCAGCTTGGGTAAGAAAACTTGGCAGATATAAATGGAGGTAGAAGAGGGACCTAAATCGGAGGGGATAGTACATCGATAAGATTTTGGTTAAAAAAAAAAAGGAAAAGTAGAAAGACAAATTATGGCTACCTACCTTTGAGCACCAACCACCTAAATGAAGGTTGAACTTGGCTCTTATAAGCTTCCAACAAAGGAAGCCTCTCTCCTCCATTGCCACTTAGCCAATAAGGCTTTATTAACACACACCACCTAATCCCTAAGCCATCCTTCCTCAAAAGATTCTTGAACATGTCCCATGCTACCAAATGATATTTCTTTGCTCCTAAAAAGCCACCCCAAAAATCTTTATTGAAGGGACTAAATCCTCTTTGTCACTTTTACCATGATAGGAAAAAGACATAAAATAGATAGGGGCATTAGAAAGTGAACTCTTAATTGAAGTTAGTCTTCAACAGGTAGATCTGCTTCCACCCAGCTAGCATCTTCTCCAATTTATATACAATAGGGTCCCAATAGCCATCTCTTCAACTTGAGCGCAAAGAAGGAGAATGAGATACTTGATTAGGACTGTTTCTACAACCTAAAAATCAAGTTCACTTAGCACCATGAACCCCTGCCCCACCAAAATAATTTCAAGGTCTTCCAAGCCCAATAATTGTAGGTTTATATTTGCCTCGTTATGCGAGCGTATAAATGATTTTCAATTTGATCCAAAGCTAAATTAAATTGAACTAGAGCTAAATTTTGATCTAAACAAATCCAAAATATACCTGAACAAGTTTGGCTTAGTGCAGTGCCTAAACATACCTATGGCGTACGTGCCAAACATCATGGTAACCACATATTTTTAGCCAGCAAGCTAGAATGAAAAATATCCAACAGAAATAGAAAAGATATTAAATTGATATTTTGGCAGGCAAAACAAGCCAGGATAATTAACACTAGGAAATCAAATTCCAAGAAAATGAGAGTACTATAACAATTATATGGGCTTTAAAGCAGCACCACTATTCCCCAATGATTATACAGTGAGGAAAATGAAGAGGTAGATGCATGTTATACCAAAAGGAAAGTTATAAAGTAAGAGTTTGTACCATGGGCATCTGATCTATGTCTGGATCACTCTCATGTTCAACCAGCCAATTTACAGCTGCTTCAATGCTGACATTATCTGAAGGAGAGGAAAGCCCACATTAGAATAACAATAAGGGCCTAATGAATCACATGCAATCAAGATGAAGAGAAATGTAATGTTTTTTGCTAAAGGAGAATGTGAAACATAGGCCATCAGTGTGGCTACTCCATATGAGCGTTATTATAGGAGTACCTTCAATTTAGGTTTAACCCATTATTACTACTTCAACCAGCCCACAACCAAAGCTCCAATAAGGTGCAAGTAGTTCAATCAAACCAAAGCTCAAGTAAAACCTCTTGGATCGTCTTTCGGTTGTTAAACCCAAGACCTCCTAGTTTAAGTACTGGTTACCTACCACTCAATCACCATTCACCACTTTATTGATGAGGCAGACGCAATGTTGAATACAATATTTCAAGTAAAGAATAACACTAGAACTTATACAAGAGCATATGCTTCAAAAAGTACGAGTCAGAACTAGGTTGTTAATATGATGTGAATGACATCAACAGATATAGTTTGACTTTATGAAGCAATGGAATTTATCAATAAATTTTAAGATTAAGAAAAAATTGTAATAAAAAACAAGTCAAATATGCAAATGAGAATGATCTCAAAAGGAGCATTAGAAACTAATTCAACTAAAGAATCTCTTCCATCAGGAAATAAGAATCTAAAAACAACCATCTTGCACCACTCAAAAATCAGCCAAAAAACCCATAAGAGTCAAAGCAAAGGCTAGTAGACAACAGAAAAGCAAACCAATATCCTTAGCATTATCTCCCCTAATTGAACATTTCTCTTGACTATCAGAATCATAATCCCATGGCTACTACAAGAATATCCTGAATATTCTGTTTTGCTTAGCACATATATTTTTATATCAAATTCTAAATCCCTCAATTATCTCATTCTTTAATTTTATAACCATCTATGGCTAGGACTTCATGTCCGGAGAGCTCATACATATGTATGTTATAAACATTCACGAGAAATATATACAGAGAATTATCCTTCTCCCCTGGTTTCATTCTCTGTTATTCAACATGGGACCAGAGCAGTCACCCATGATTGCTGCAAAATGTCGAACCTGATCGCCTTTAACAGCCTACTTTGGATTTCATGCCCCTGCAGCAAACTCCTCCAGGATTCTGCACTTCTTGTTCCTTAAGTGCAATTGCCAGCAACTTCAAATCAGGTCGTGGAAAACCTGCACAGACTAGACCAACGAAGAGTGTGATACAGTTGCTGACACCATCTCTCCTCAACATAGCGTGTCTTTTGGGTTCTGTCTCTGGAAAGACAGCGAGTACTCATCAGTGACAGCCTATAGGAGAATAGCTTGCTGCATATTTTGGCCCTGTTTTTGGACAGGAAGTGATGACTCAAGAGTAGCAGCCTGAAGGAGGACAGAGATCACATTTTGGTCTCTATATGTAGACAGAGAATGGCGATTCTTCAAATGGAGTCGACAGCAAGTCATGTTTCAGTTACTGGTCGTGGAGAGGGAACATCTATTCTTCATTTACATCCAGGAGGATAGCGGACAGGTGATACTGAACATCCTTTTGGTGCTATGTAACTTCTCTTCTTCAGAAGGCAGAGGCAATCAGTACTGGTAAGCTCACCTAGGTTTCTTCTTCTTCTTTTTTTTTTTGCCTTCTCCTTGGTCTATAAACGAAAAAAGATGGCTAACACCAAGGCGGCTAAGCGAGAACTAGGGGTTAGTACGTTTGGTACTTCAGGAAAATATAGTTCCTTAAAGATAATCCAAGTGAGGCTTGACAGAACCAATTATCTTTTCTGGTTGAGGCTGTGGCTACTATTCATTCAAAGCCAGCCCTACAAGGGTACATTATAGGGAATAAATCCAAGCCAACTAACACCAATCCAATGACGAACTAGTGAGAATCTGAAAATTTACTCGTTATGTCTAGGCTCATTAATTCCATGCACCCATATTTCCTCGTGGATTTATCTCAAAAAAAAAAAAAATATTTCCTCGTGGATGCTTGCTCCTGAATAGCACCCATAAAAATGCAGCGTTGCATCAAAACAAGCTTAAGTGTTGGCAATGATGCATGGATATATGAGCTACAGAACAAGGAACATGAAAACAGACAACACGAGATGGTTGCTGCTCAGCATTTCACGGAACAAAGTGGTATGTGGCAGGAACTCCACTATTATCAGGCCAGCTTTTTCAGCCGATGCTTCCAAATTTCAAAAAACTAATGATCTATTATTTCCTTTTTGGTCTAAATATAGAATACAACGATATCTAAGTCCAAGTGCCAGGTAGAGGCCCATTATTAATCTTGGCTTATTCTCATGTTCAGGAGGACAGTTGTAGAAGTGTTATTATACATCTGGTTAGTGTGGATAAGATACGATTGGTTGTTGGCATCATTTGTGACCAACCTAAAATTGGTAACTGAGGTATGCAAAACAAAGGTCACCTAACATGTGATTATTTGTGGCAAACCACTACACGATGGAGAAAGCTGCTAGAAGCTTAATGGCTAACAAAATAGAGGTTCTGGAGGTAGGAGGAACAATTTCACTTGACCGCAAACTAACTTTGTTGAGGCTGTTAAAACTATAGGACAGGCATCCAATACTGCAAGTTTTTCAATTGAAGAGGTAAAAAAACTAGGGCGTATATACAGATCTCCTCTTCCACAAAACAGATCATCGCCCAATTTAACCCCAGATAGACTATAGGTCACAGACCAAAGCTGGTAAGAGATAGAAGACAAAAGAAGAAGGTTATTGCTAGACTTCATTGCTCTCTTGCACAAGTAGCAGACATAAAGTTACCAAAACTATAATAATAGACGGTTTGACCGTGAGCATGTTTGACGGTGTTCATGGGTTTAGGCGGTGGCTCGGGTTACGGCGGCAGTGGTGGTGAGAGGAGAAACTAGGGTTCCGAGTAAGAGGTTGTGCATGTTTGACATCGCAGAGAGGAGATTAAACACAATGTTTGTCTGAACAGTGTCGCCGACGTAAGGGGAGATGTCATCCATGGAATAGGCAGCTTCTAGTCACAGAACAGAAGACATTCGACGTAGTCGGCAAAGGATTAGACATGATCGGATAAGGTAGTCAAAAAATGGAACAGGATTATGTTCCTCCATTTTTTTTTATAAGGATGATGTGGAGTGGATGCTAAGTATTTTTAGAGAACTTTTTTGGGTGAAGGGGGGAAGACCTGGGAAGGAGTAGGCGGGGACACCGGAGTTCTTTGTGGATAGTGCTGGGCCAAATAACAAAAGTCAATATTTGGTCTTCTCACTGAGCTTCGGGAGTGGTTTCAGGAGGATTTTAGTCCTAGATGACGAGAAGGCGGAGGGTTGATGGAATCTTATGATGGCCCTGCATGAGGTGTCTAGAGTGGAGCTGGTGGTGTCGGGAAGGGAGAAAAAGAAGGTTGTGGAGTCCATAATCCAAATAAGTGGGCACTCCATGGATCATTCAGGTCTTACGAAGAAGATGTGTTGCCCGGTATGCAAGGTTGAGCTGTGGATGAGGGTGGAAGTGGTGAGGACTGAATCATTCACTAAGGTTGTGAAGCAAGCAAGGGGAGAGCAGGGAGGAAGCTGGGTGGGGAAGATGAAGCCTGAATTCAACCCGAAACCTGAAAAATTGAAATTCAAAATTTAAGTCAAAACAAACTTGGGGCATGTTGTTTTGGGCCGATAAAGGACGTGCTCTCGTGTTGACAACTGGACCGGGTAAGACATTCAGGCCAAGAGAATCTTAGCAGGTTTGAAGCTTTGAGGGGTATGGGTCCTGATAGTGGACCGGGGAGGAAATACTTCAAGGCTGAGAAAGGGAAATGGACCGAGGAGGTTGGGTCAGCGAGCAAGTCCAGTAAAAGTACTATTTCGCTGGGAGGCCTTAAGATTGAAAACGAAGTTGGGCAGGAGAAGCATTCTTGAAGGGCAGGAGGGTTCCTTGGGCCAAGCTGCCGATTCATTTAAAGATAAGGGGTTGAGTTGTTCAGCAATGGATGCGGGTCAAGATAAAGGGTAGGGCAACCCGAGAACCCAACCAGGAAGGAAAAACCCTAACCAGAACGGGAGTGGGAGAGAAGTGACAGATGTAGTTAAAGGTGGCAGAAACGGAGCCGGTGAACATTTCCGCCAAGGGAGAAGGGGAGTTTGCGAATGAGAAGTGTGTATTTGAGGGGATTCAAGAACAGATCACAGGAGGATTAGGGCTAATTCTTAAGGCCGATCGGGAAGAGGAGGTTAAAGGTCGGCAACATGATGAGGAGAGAGGATAGTGTCTGGATATAGTTCTGGCAAGCGAATCGTCGGTTGTGGAAGGAATAGTCACTGACGAGGCGATGGGACTACAGCCTAGTGATTACCTAGCAGTGGAGGACAGTGGTGGTCTAATGGAGGAGTTGAGGGCTGAAGAATATCCCACTATGTGTTGGAGCAGAGGTTGAGCAGACTAGTGAGTGTTTCTTTTGATGGATTGGAAGATAAGGTGATGAATCTATTTTGTGAAATAGAGAAGCATAGACAAGTCAAAGAGAGGAACGAGAGATTGAAGACCAGTAAAGGGGAGACGAGGGTCAGAGAGACTTGAAACGGTTTATCTCC